CAGCTTAGCCGATGAAGCGCGTTCAGGCCGACCTGTTGAGTTCGATGATGACCTGCAGATAGCCACACTTGAAGATTATCCTGCTAATGAGTCGATTCAAAAACGGCGCTTGAAGTTCACGAGAATGCTGCGAAGCGCAAATGTTTTCCCGATCTCTAAGATTGTCTGGTGACAACACATGTGGAACCCACTTTCCAAGTTTTGACACTTTTCCCAGCCGTTGTTTCCCGTTTTTGAATCGACTCATTAGCAGGATAATCTTCAAGTGTGGCTATCTGCAGGTCATCATCGAACTCAACAGGTCGGCCTGAACGCGCTTCATCGGCTAAGCTGTAGTCACCAGACCTGAACTTCTGGAACCACCGTTGGCATTTCCTCGCATTTAGGGCTTCCTCACCAAAAACATCTTGAATGTTTTTCGTGGCTGCAGTCGCGTTATTCCATTTCTTAAATTCATAAAGCATTATATGCCGAATGTGTTCCTCTGACACCTCCATCTTGTTTTTAACGTCTAAGAAAAACGGAGCGCTGTTAACTCGTTAAAACCTACACGTAGACTGAAGACTAAACGTCTACACAAGTTAGCATAGAAATATTCCATGAAATGTGCACAGATACACGTATAAACAAGACACAAGTTTGGCAATGCGAAAAAACCGCATTACTTATGGGATGACCTGATATAACCAAATGCTCTCAACAGCAGTAATGGATAACAAGCTAACCACTGACAGCTTCATTGAGAGACAGACAGGCTGGACAGGACCAAAAGAGGTCTCTATCGTTTCTAGGAGGCCTACTTATAAGTACGAGATGGCCGCTAATTAGGCCTATTTGAATTCATGGGCGATTTCTTCTACAGACCACAATTGACACCGGCACCGGCCGATGGCTATGAGGAAAAAATCGGCCCACCGGCCAAATGTGGCCACCGGTACAGCCGTAGTCCCATGTAAAGTCCTCCACCATCCTTCAGCAAGATGGTTAACATGGGTTGGGTGGTGCCCCAGCCTCTTTCTAGGATGCGTTGCTTCATGGCGCCCCACTGTGATTGTGTGCGCTATCCTTTAAGGATTCATAATCTCAATAAAACTGAAGTTCATAATCAGGGGAGAAATTGGAAAGAATGTTCTCACCAATCACTAGATCTACAAAGTTTTCGGAGTGATTTACAGTTTCGTGGAGGAACCCCCTCCTACCTAGATCGTTGTACGCAGCCCATGAATCGGATTGAATCGTTGTCCTTGGACGGATGTGATGACATAATAGGGATGAGGGTTTTCTTGTCCCTTGATTGATAATGACCATGCGCGTTTCCAATTTCCCCCCATGGTACCACACCATACCAAATACCCAGGGACCAGTTACTTTTTCGCCATAGTTTTGGCGGGTAACTGTTTCCTCAAAAGAGCCTCTCCTGGTTGTTTTCTCGTCGTCCCCTGAGAGTGAAATAAGGGTTAACAATTGGGGATACGATACTTTTCGTGCAGACATGAGCGAGTACAGTCAGCCTAACACGCACTCACCGGAAGCAGCTCTCGTTTATCTGTGCTACCTCACCAGGACCGCCCATCGGCGTTGCAGCATGAAAGGCTTTTAGGAGAACTTCACGGATAACATTCCTCCAACCAACCAAGGTTTCATCCCTTGTTGGTTACAGGAGGGATGTAAGAAAGGAATGGGTTTGGGGGATGGTGAGGTCCTTTGCCCAGCAATAGACAATGAGAAGGATCGTCTTTATGGTTAGTCTGGAACAAGGACGACCATTCTATCCCGGAACGAGAGCCAACATCCATGTTCCCAAATTGGCCTCTGTCGGCTATCGGACCATTTTGGGCGCTCCAGCACTTTTTGCACCTCAGAATGAGGTACTTCCTACCTCACCTCCCAGGACGAGTAGAGTTGCAGAGCGTTCCTTCGATGCGTGCACATGACAAAATCGAACTAGAACATATCTCGGAAATGACAAATGCGAGCGAGTGACTAACCAGTGTAGTGAGGGACCGGGCATCGCAAAACTTTGTTTTTGGAGTCTGGGAGCAAACCGAGTTGCGTTGCAAAATCAAAGGTTGACTCATCCGATCGGAAGGAATTGCAAAATTTCCACCATGTCGGGGTCTCGGCAGCCATGTGGTACGGATAGAGACACGAGTCTAAGAATCCCTTAAGAATCCCGTAGCAGGCAAGTGACGTGGTTAAAGTTCAACCAGGAGGTTTTTATACGTGGGCATATCTTTCATGCGGAAGTGAGTGAAAGAGTGACGAAACTTGTTTAACACAACCCAGACAAGGTAATTTTGTGGCATGAGTAGTTTATGCCAAACTTTTATAGAGACGGCGCAAGTGTCAATGTGAGGAAACTCCTCTGACATGTGCTCAAGTATCATTCACGGGAGATAGTCATTCCGCCGTCTCCCAAGTCCACCACGTGATTTCTTTGTGGGGCCCGTTGAAATATATTGTGCACACAACGAAGTCGGAGTTGAGATAGTGCATGTGCTGTACGCACTGTGCACAAAACGAAGGAATAAGGCTCCTCTATATCAATTACCACAGGCTCATACAACAAATGTAGGAAGTTTTAGACCAGTCAGATACAACAGGAGATGCCAGCTGCACTGTGTGCTAGAAATGGTCGGCCATCTTCAAAGGATTAACTAACAGTTCTTCTAAGGAGACAGGCGCTCGGCCATCTACAAAGAATTCAACCCTTACATGGCGCTCAGCCGTCTACAGAGAATTCACTATCCTGCAACCCATCTGAAGAAACAAGGCCAACCACATGAAAATCAGTTACGTCCAACGCAACTATCATAGGAAGTGGAGGAATGGCGCTTGGCCTTTCTCAAAGAAAATAAATAAATAAGGCACTCAGCCTGGACAGGAGAATGAAGGCTCTAAAAACAGGGCACCGCCAATCCACTACAAACCCCGTTCTCCAATGTCGGCCTCAAGGTAAAATCCTCCAGGACTCCGACTGATTCATCCTTCCACTGGCACAAGATAAGGATCAAGACATTTGAGGCTGTTGTGCTCGACAGAACATACCAAGATGCAAGAGTCCAAAAAGTGGGTTTCGGGACGGATCCCAGACGCATGTTCTGAAGAAAAAAGGGCGAGGAGGGGGTTGGGGTCAGATGCTAATCCAATGAGATGCGAGGCGGAGGGTCAGATGCAGGCTCAAGTGTGGAAAGAGCAGTCGTCACAAATCGGCAGCAACAAGAGAAGCTACACCCTATGAAGATGGAAGACAACTGCGCGCCAACAAGGCAACTTTTCCTTGAAGACCACTCTAGGCCAGGGGTGCTCGAATTCTATTCACGTGATTTCTATATAACCCTATAAAGAAGGCTTAGTTAAGAGTGACACCAGAACTGCAACACTGGAGTGTACTCTATAACCCCATCTCATGCGAAAGCATGGAGCACCAGACAGGACCATCTGCTATAGATGTTACAATGTCCTAGTCGCTTACTGCCATAACTTAAGTCCTTTTTGTCTACATTGTTCCCCTCATTGCTTTGTCCATAAAAGCGTCTAACCTCTTCTTAAAAATAGTCACAGAAGGGACGGCCACTACATCATCTAACGCATTCCACGCGTTCACCACCCAACGAGTAAAGAAGTCCTGTCTCGACCTGAGCCGCACCTGCAGTTTACGCAACTTGAGTTGATTACCGTTCTCTTGCCATTTGAGTTACCGTTGATCTCGTTCTCTTGCTGCCATCGAACTGGAAGAACCTACCACGCTTTACATTATCCATTCCTTTAATTGTCTTGAAAGCCTGGATGAGATCACCCCTCCTTAACCTTCTCTCGAGAGGGTACAGTCCTAAACTTTTAAGCGCTTCTCGTACGGAAGTCCCCTAACCTCTACCGTTCTCGTGGCCCTCCTCTGTACTGGTCAGGGTTGCCATGTGTGTTGAGTCCAGCTCAAGTGACCAGCCAGTTTTTTTTTTGTAAGTATATGTATACCTCTTCCTTGTCTAGAATGTGGTGCAATATCGTATGAGCTAAATATTAATTCGTAACTCGAAATAGGAGTATAAACTGGAGAAAGAGCGGTAAATTTCTTTCATCAACACCAACTCTCACGAAAATAATTTGACTCCGGTGGTAGAAATCTGTCCGAGAAATTCCCCACTTAAGGGGATAACAATTACCTCTTAAAATGGTACATATTCCGTGCAATTACATAGAACCCTCCGCAAAATGCACGGGAACGAATCAAGGCAGATAGGAGTGCCAGCAGGCAAACGCACGAAAATTGAAGCTAGCTGTAAATTTAAAATGTCTTCTACCGAAGATGCAACGGCGGTTACCTCCCTGTATTGCTATTAAGGCAGTCACCTCCTTGTCTTGCTTCTGCCCTTCCAGCACAATGTATTGATTCTCCCTCGGAGTTTCTTCGAACAATGCATATGCATGATATTGTGCACCAGGAAAATCCTGCCGTTGCAACTGTCCCACTTACGGGAAATTACTTTAAAGCATGCCGTTCCCACTCCTAAAAAAAAGCAAGATCCCATTTAGGACCATCCGAGACTGGTATTCCGATGGTATCAATTCCTTGGGCATCGAGAAGTTGAACTAGTATAACCAGTGCGGACAACTTAAACTCGGACACAAGCGCAGTCGATCAAATAGGACTTTCGAACAGTTAAGAAATTCGAACTCCTGGGACAACACTGCCTCTGACGCCTTTACGTGTTTGAAGTCTTATTTGGGGATGAAGACCACTTCACTCACTATCGCACTGCGCCTAGATCTCTACCACCCATCACTTACTGTATGTTTGTACGACAAGAATGCTAACCTTGGACCTACTTCTTTTTAATATCCAGACATTCGTGGGGACATGATTCCGAACATCAGACGGTTCCTCGATGTTATTTCTTCAATGTCTCAGAGTAATTTTCTACAAGTTCATGTAAGAATCCAATTTTGAAATGGAAAGCAAGGAAATAAACAAATAACATACACGGTTTGAATATTATGCTGCTCTTTTCTATTTTCCAATGCATAATATTATTTGCTTCGGACTCACGAAGCAACTTCAAATAGGGCGGCAATCACAGAAGTCAGCATGTCCATATTCTCCAACGATAATAGTTGGGGAGAGGGGGGAAGCAAAAATTCTTCACCGAAGAGATGTCAACATCATCTGACTCATGCTTGACACATCCCCTCACAATTCTGCCTGTCACCAGTTATGCTTGTCACCGAATAGTTTGATAATGAAGGAACATTTGAAGCAAGAACAAAGTCTCTTCGACTTGGAGTTCAGAATGTGAAAGCTTGTCGGTGATGGCCTGGACATTTTCAAGAAGGGCTTTCTCTGGTGGAGTCATCATCTCTTCAATCTGCAAAAAGGTCAAAATTAGAAGGAATGAAAACAGAGGTTGCAACTGAATCCCAGTATCAGCATAGTATACAAGCTTCTTACATCATCCATCTGCTCTTGTGATGCATTCTGTTCCTGAAGTGACTGCAGAATAGAATCAAGCCTCTGTTGCTTATCCAAGAGACGATAATGCTCGTCCACTTCCATATGTCTTCTACAAATTGCATTCAAGATGGCTTTGTAGCTCAGTTCCAGAAGCATTCGGACAACCTAGTAAGAGGAAAAAATGTAGGCTAGTATTGGAGATACACTGATGGGAACTTTTCCAAATGCCTGCAAAAAACATGCATCACTTGCATTTACAGGCAATGACAGTGACATAAACCAATGCGGAATTTCTCACTTGATTGAGATTGATGTAAAACAGATAGAAAGACTTATTTGGTCCTGTGTTGGAGAGACTTTTGCGAATTTCCTTGAGCTGCACAAATCCTCCCTCGAGAAGTTTATACGTAAGCAACTTGGATTCCTTCCCTGCTATCATTGCTAGCTCTTGAATCATATCTTGCTCCACATATTTCTTGATCTTGATTAGCCTAAGGAGGTAATTAGAGGTCTATGATAAGTATAACCAGTTGATATCAACTCCTGGCATGAATAGTTTCTATTTAATCGATTCTATAAGTTAGATGCCATAAGAAAAATTGAAACCTGAAGATTCGTGCTGCATTGGACCCAAAACGCTCCATCACAATGCTCTCAAGAGCTGCCCAAGCGAGTTGAGTGAAGCACTTTTCTAGTGTAAGAACATATTCTCCCCCACCTGCATCTCCCCTCTTGGCAATGAATTTCATGCTGTCTTCCTCTGATGCAAACAAGAAGGAAAAAATGAATGCAGTTTCTCAGTAAAACTTCTAGTTTTACTATTCATGGTCATGTCTAATTTCTTTTAATTTTGCACATTTGAATGGTGCTAATCCTCATCCTGCTTTTTCCTGAAATAAAGATTCCATTTGGTCATACCTGGTGCATCCACTTACAATGCACCAAAGACAGGAGCCTGTGCTCACCTAAGACATGCAGATACTGATCCATATACTGATGAAGTTCAGAATTTGAAGCAACTTTCTGGATGTGAGTCTTGATGTCAATGAAGGAGATAACTGGAGATTCTGGCTTCCAAGGATCTCCTCTCTCCTCAGCTATATTAAGAAGAACTTGTTCTAATTGTCCTGCATGTTCATCAATCCGACGACTGGCAGCTGATATCAAAATCTGATCTCTGAAATCATATGAAAAAAGGTGATTAACTAGTATTGAAGTTAAAATTCTTAAGACAGAACAGCCATATGAGTTGAGCATACCGGAATTCAAGATCAAATCTCTTCATATTAACATGCCAGTAAATGCCATCATCTGGCTGGCATTCTAAATTCTCAGCTTTTGCCTGGAGAGCAAGCTGGAGACTGATCGGATCTATTGCAGGTACCATGAATGAATCCTTTTCTGTAGTTTGAGTCATCACCTTTGAAGGATCTGCAGCAACTGGCTTGATATTGGAGCATCTCTTAATGAATTGCAGGGATGCCAATGTCTTGAAAAGCTCCATAAGAGCCATCACTGAAATGGTTTTCCCATCACCTACAACAAATCAGATTTGAATGGGACTCATCCACCACCTATTCTTTCAACAGAAGAAAGCAATGTTGAGAGACTTACTTTTTGATGCATCATTATTTAACTTCAAGGCTGCATTCCAAATGATGTGAGACATAGTAGCACGTCCTTGGTGAAGAAGGACCTCAATCAGCATTTCTGCTTCATCACCATGCAGAGTCTTCACAGCAAGCAAATACCTGGAGAAGTAGAACCAATCCACATGCCAACATATTTCCTAATAATAGCCATGACATTCATTTCTCCATTCATTATATCACAACTTTGGGGATTAACTATACCGAGGAAAACGAAGAAATAGGAGTATCCTCTCAGTATGTATTTTATACTCAATGACACCCCTGAGCCCCATCTCAAATGTAACCAGATTGTATTGAATCAGGGTACACAAGGCTTGCTTCACCTGCACATGAAAAACACAGATGATATCTATTTCAAGTAGCATACAAAGGATGAAGAAGGGAGTCTGACCTTGTCCTGTGGTAAATCCACCTTAATTAAGGATAGAGGAATAGATCCACTCTTGAGGAGAAAGTGAACAACATTGCTCACCACAGAGCCAAATATGTCCTGTATGAGGGCAGTGCACAGTTTCACTAGCTGCAAGGACATGATCCTGTAGGTTGCAAAGCAAAGTTTCATATTTGTATACCAACTTTTTAACAGATATCTGATTGAAGTGGTAAATTAAGCATTATAGCTGCATGAGAACTTATCATGGAGCATTTCACACATGTACATGGTGAACACAAAAGGCTGGACAGAATAAGCATTTATTTATTTGAAAAGGAAACATTGTAGGATATAGAAACATGCATAGAAATATAAACTAGAGTCTAAAGTTCTTTCTACTACCACTTCCATGCAGCTTTCAAAGACTTCCATTATCAGCTGATTCCACTTTTAAAATGGAAAAAAAAGGCCCAAGTTGTGAGTGGAACATTGAGTTCTAAAATTCAACAATTATCAGGGGCTATGGATAAAACCACCTAAGTTCGGACACTCAAACATTTACTGTTAAATACGCATTTGTGAGACCGACATCAGAGAGAGTTCTTCTTAACCCAAGATGATCATGTCACTAAGCGAAAGACCTGCGGTGGCCACGATTGTTGAGCCCGATTTCGAAAATATCGGACAGAAATGAATGCCATGTCGCCAGCAGGAGAAATTCAAGAAAACGTACGGAGACGACCTTACCTGAGAAACGCTTCCCACGCGGTATTGTTAATTCTGCGATCAATCCTTATTCCAAAGGGAACTAGGAAACGTAGAGCACTACTACTAGGGCAACGCATGCCATGAGCAGATTTCCGCCTTACTTATGGTGTTCAAACTACGTTGTGTTCGAAATTAATTTTTTCGCATCTAAGTTCGGACACCCACGTAATTAGAATTATTGGCAGCTATGAGGTTTCGATGATCATCATCTTTATCACACTCATATTGTGCTGCCGGACGCAAAAAATGAAATATCTGGGCGTATTAAGGCGCATCGAGCGAATTATAATCCTATCCCGGCTTAACTGTCCGAACATTGGTGATTTTACCCTACTTGAGGATTTCCTTGAAAATGCAAATTTTCAGCAAGATTGGGCTTTTCCACACTTTTCTAGTTTTCAAAACTCTAACCCCTTGAACACCCCAGGTATTGGACAATTTCCTGCCGTCACACGCCAGAATTTCGTATTAAATAAAATATTTTGTTTCTGCTTAAGTTCTCTACTTAAATGCTATTACCTCTGACTTTACTTCCTCTCGTGATACTGTTTCCCCCCCCCCGTGGGCACTCACCGGAGGCAACCGGTGAACGTCACGTGTATCGGTTGCATGATTCCTTCATGATGCATACGGGTGCATCATCTGTGTTCAAGGAGCTAATGTGGATTTTCCAAGAGGAAGGAAGGGAGCTCACTTCCATGGGTCACCTCACCTTATCGCAATAGTTTACTTTCTGTGGGGTTATGTACTATCACTTGTGTTTAGTGTGAAGTTAAGAATCTTGAGCACCTTCACAGAAAAATTAGTTTAAATTTTCTTCCAGAAATATGAAGAACCTAGGCTATGATTCTATGATTCAATGCATGTTTCATCATCCTGGTGTATTTCCTTTCTGAATAAATTCATCCAGCCTTTTGTGTGTTGCCCGAACTTTAGATATCGATGGGTATCGTATTGCAGAGACTGCTGGTTTTTACTTTCAGGCATCAAAGCACAAACTTTCTTTGATATGGGCCATGGGCATAAAATAGAACCAAGTTGTCTGTGTTCATTTTTATATGGGTTTCAATAATATAATCTCAATTAAATGGATTTTCATTGGGGCCCATTACAAAGTAGAGTGCCTTCAATTTATTGAAATTTCATCCAAATGCCCAAGATTCAAATTTTATACAGAGATAGCTGCATGTCTTGCTTACAAAGCAGCCAATTTTTCCAAAATCAAAATTGATTCTTTTGGGAATGTGGTCAAAGGTCATCAGCGTGACTTATCACTCGTAAACTTTTAGCGCTCCGTCAAAACTTACTTACACCAATGAAAAGGGCTAAAAGAAAATAAAGCCAAGGATGATTTTCAAGCTGAATTGGGACAGACATTACAAGATGAAGACTTTGATCAGAATTCAACCAGTAGACACTTTGGCCAGAACTTTCATGACCTCATACCTAAGAAACCAGGGGGCAAATTAACCCCACATCTTATGTTTCTCTCAAGTCCTAGTAAACTTTTAAAAGTTTTATACAAATTCCAGGTCTTAACCTTTTTACATTGTACTGATTTTACATGGAATGACCCATTACCAAATTAACACCAAGAAATTTCCTACAAAGAATGAGTGCCATGCCATGTCAGCATAGATTTCAGACAACAGCATTCACACCCTAAATGCAGGGTGTCCATAGAGTCCTGATGTATTTCCATGAAAAACAGAAATTTCTTTACATTTCAGGTTCAATTATTGTAATGGATAAACTTAAATCCTTTAAGCATTGCTTCATCAAGAATCATTAGTTCATCTCCACATGTCCAAAATCCATATCTCAGCATTGTTTCCACCCATCAGTAGTAACCTTGAACACATTGTGCAACATTGCCAGTGTTATGAATTCAACTGCAGCATAAATTCGAGAACTAAGATCCTGCAAGTCGCGAACTTTGCTTCTGTAAACCTGTGACTTGAAGAATCCCTATAAAAAAGTCTATTGGTGTCAGTTCTGGCAACCAAGGTGCCTGTGCTTGTCTTGACCTGTCAATCCACTGTCCAGGAAACAGACTTCTATCCTCTCTGGCACTGTCAGCATGGTGTGTTATTCAGTTATTTATCTGCCTTTCCACTACTGTGGAATTGCTCTGTGGAGTAAACCAAAATTAGGGCTGTACCTATGTATTGGCTACTACTGATATCAGCAGTCAGTGTGCAAGTTGCCAATGCTGATGCCTAAAGGAAGTATTAAATATGGTATCTATATTTTTTAGGGGGCCCCCTGAGAAGTATCATATGGTTTCTAATGAGGCCCATTAGAATTAGTATGCAATTTCATGTTACTTCTGAACTGATGGTTGAGATGAAAATCGGCCATCGGCCATTGGCCCACTGGCCAAAGGTGGCCATCGGTACAGTCCCACTGGAAATTTAAAAGAAATTTATTGTCTCATCAAAACAGATTGGGGCTTTATGGACACACTGTATATAACCCTACAGTGCACTAATTTATGTAAAACTGTGGTTCTGTTAAAACCAAGACTCCTTACAATCATTGCACCATGTTCACCATAGCAATGCTACTTAACAGTGATGAATGAGTTGCGTGGGTATCACATTCATAGTACAATAGCATTACTGGTCTGAGTACCGTTGGTTGTCATCTGGTTGGTTTGCATTCAGGGGCCTCTGGTCAATTCTAGTATTCTGACAGAGACTTCTGATCCCTTGGCTTCATGAGGATGGAAGGTGTAGTTAAGTGTTAAGTGTCTTGAAGGGTTTGCGTTAACCAGAAAAGAGCTCATTAGTTTCTTTGGTCAATGTAAACATGAACAAATGTGAGACTGTTGATGTAGTGGAAGAGTACTGATAAATAAGGATTCAATAAGCACATGCCTGTAGATTCCAGGAAGGAATTACAGAATCCTAGTGATATTCATGAGTTCATAAATATTAGATGACAATGAGCAATACATATCATTAGGATGTAAGCCCACATTTACATGAAGGTAATACATAGCAGTGGTGTTCACCATGCTCTTCAATATGTGAAAGAGGAAAACACATCCACATAATACTCTTTATTTCAGCTAAATAATTCTGACTAGTCAACAACTTACAATCTCAAACTTTCATCAAAGACAACAGGAAAAGAAATGTGACCACAAATAACATGACGCAAAATTGTTGGTGCCAGTTTGTACAAAAGGAAGAGGGTAACAAAAAGAGGAAACAAGAGTACACATAAAATAACAGGCAATTGCCATGCATGCAAACCATGAATTCCATTTCCTGTTTGATCATGATCTACAAAATTTGGCTCCATATTTGCACCTGTATGAACCTCGATAAAGTGCAGTTTGTACTGCAACAAATGAGGAAAACATGATTACTAAAGCCTCTTCTTTCAGCAAGAGAATACTGAATAGTGCATGAGGTTCAAACTTCCAACAAGGAAATACACTTTCCTCTTCCTCTTGGATATTTGTCCAAATCAAGAATATAATGCATCACAGTGATATGATCTGACATTTTGCAATACAGGTTTTCAGAACCTGGCTCACAAAGTATATATGGTTGCAAATCCAACACAAACAGGATAGTTTGGGAATGAGTTCATGAAGGAAATCCATCTCAAAGTCCATCTAATAAGATCTGGATGTATGCATGCATGCCAACTAATTGTTCCTGATACTGAACTGATTTGAAGGGGAGATCTCATCAGATGGACATGATGGTGTGGTGCAAACTTCTCACTTGTGGCCCTAACAAAACATTCTGGAAAAAAAACTGAGCATTTCCCCAACCTTCTTCAGTGGATATAGTCCTTCCTTTTCCCTTTCATTCCTCTGAATTCTGTGCAGTTTTCATGATGAATTCTATATAGTTGAAAAGCACTCATCTCCTTTGATTCAGTATGCAATGCATGATGACTCAGCTGCAGTCTTGACAGGATATTGGTTAAAAATGGATATGGAAATGTCTCCAATTTTCACAAAAAAAGAAACCAGACCAACATCTTGGATACAAATTTGTAGAGGGAAATGGAACAGCGAAATTCCAGATTTAAAGGGGAATTATAAGTGATGGATCGTCAAAACCAATATAAAAATTGAAGGAGGCACTTACTCAAACAGATCTTTGAAGCAAAGATGGATGTGATTAAAAGAGGGATAGAATCAGCTGATGGCATCATCCAGAAGTGTCTACTGACATAATGTGCTCATCTCATTTGTTTTTACATTCATTTCCCATGGGGACAAGCTCACCCATGTGAATATAAATGACATATTTTAGCACATCATACATGCTTCCTTATAGGGCACTTGTTTGGTAACATATGTGAGGTAAGACTACTCTTTAGGGATTGATCTCAAATTATAATCACAAGGATTTTGAGTTCACAAGTTTGAATCATCTATCCAATGAATTGGGTCAACTCTACATGCACTCTAGGCAGTCTGGAATAAAGAAATGAAAGAAGTACAAATTTGCCATTTTGTTAGCATTTCTTGGAAGTAATGTAGTGGCTTTCATGTGTAATTTCTAGTGTGCCAAGATATGGGCAAGCCCCATGGCTTACAATGATGATGGGTCTAAGAGCTTCTGCTCCTACCCTTGAATTTTTCCAGCCTATGCTCTGTCCATGACCATGCTGCCCCCAGTTGAATGAAACCAAAAAAAAAAGACTTCACAGAAGATGAGAAGCTGAGTGATAACTGCTGAAATTGCAGCACATATCTGTAGGAAGCTATAGGATGAGATAAATTTCATCTTAAGGACTTGTATAAAAATATGTCAACATAGGATGTATACCACTAACTGCGGAATGTTCTAGAAAAACTTCATCGCCCTTGATCACCAAAACAGCATCATAGCATTCACAGCCATTAGAGGCAAACCAAGACCACACCCATGCTTATCAAGGATGGTAATTCTAAAATTTAAATATATCTATAAAAATGAATAACTTTAAGCTATAAGAAATAACTAATTCCAACCATTCTATTTCATGAATGAATTAATGCTGTCTTCGACACATCTGAAACACAAGCCACCAAAAAAAAGGAGAGAAGCCTACCTGAATGAAACATGTATCAATCCAAGTGTGGTTGCATCCTCTTAAGAATCTCTTCAGCAAATATCTGAATTTTCTGATACATTTTAAGTGTATGAGTATATACCTACAGAAATTTGTGCTTGGTGATTTCGTTGGAAAAATAAATATGGATCAATCTACCTATGATATATAGCTATCATGAGGAAAAGTTGGATCAAAATGCTCAAAAAGACTCATCTAGTAATAGACCTACATTTACAGCTATGACTCTCAGCATGACATCAAGTGACTCACTATAGTCTGGGACAGAAGTAGACTGGACTCTCTTTCTTGAGGCTTTTTCCATATAGCCAATGAGAAGAAAGTGAAAAAAAAAAATTTTTAATGCACCCATCACTGACTTATTATGAACATAGGTTTGGCATTAGCATGAACTTTCATTTTGTTGCAAAATCCAAAATTAAAAATGTTCCCATTGATTTTCCATTTCTCATACATGCCTTCCTTGAATCACCCATGAAACATAAACAAAGGCATGGATATGGATGGATCATACCCTATATTAATAGGTCTTCCAAATGATTTTCTCTATTGCCTCATCTGGCATCTAGGCAACGACCAGATTGGAAGGTAGCAAGACCTTTGACTCTCAGAGATGCTATCCTCTTGGTGTACAAGTTTGTCAGGAAAGTGGCTTCCCAAATGCACCTAATTGTCTGTCTTCATAGAGTCTATGATAAGATATGTACCATGCTTTCAATCTCAAGATCCAATACATAAGTAGAAAATCTGGACTTCATTTAAGATATCAATCCAATCATCACCTGAACTCCAACAGTAATTGAAAAGTATATGAAGAAATTACCTGCATTGGGTCATAGGGAAAGAAAGATAAACATGAAATCTCCCCTTAATGCTTCTCCTACACTAGCTGAGAATGTATCCCATTTTCTTCTAATACTGATTCACTGGCTTTGGCATGATGTGCCTTGAATGCGATAAGCCCAGAAATAACACAGCTTCCATACCCCATGGTCGTCCCTAGCACATGAAGCTGCCTGCATATACTCCAACCACTGATCATAACAGGATGTTTATGATGAATACAATGGGGAATTAACTTTCACAAGTTAGCTTGGAAACCCACTTATGGTAAGGAGAATATAACATTTAGCATCTGTGCCATCGTCAGGGGTTATATTCAGGGTTCTCTACTTGGAATTTTGTATGGAAGGCATTTCCATACAGAATTCTTAAAACATGGATAACTTGACAAAAGGCATACCAAACTGCCAATGCCAAACTTACATCAGGCCAGTGAAAATTTTGAATATTAAACTAGTTATCACATTTTTAATCCCCCTGCAGAGAAGAGAACTCAGTCTGGTCCACTTATGTCACAAACTGTAGCACATTTGATGATATGATGTAAGAATCTGGAAAAAAAATTTTTCATGGTAATGAAGGAAATATGCAACAAGTTCCTCAAGATTGTGATGGCATCTTACCTAAAATTATCAATAAAACCAGCTACCTACCAATAATGTACACATCAAGCACATTATTGGCATTACATATGTTCTAAAGAGATTTGCAATAGCTCCCAAACCAATGGTGGCTTGACGTATGAATAAATGTTCATTGCACTAGCCTCATATTTTCCTTCTTCCTTTGATATATGCCCAACCTCTATCTCCTCAATATACTAAGAACATAGATTTATGGGAGCCTCTTCATAAACATAAGCTGCCAAGAGGGAGACATTGATTTCCCCTTCCATTTAAGAAAAAAAGGGGTACTGATTGAATTCTGAAATAAAGAGAACTATTGGATTGCAAGATATTGTGATCAGTAATAGGTCACACATACGTGCATCAGAACAGAGAAAGAAGGAAAGGCATCACAGAGTTATCCATGTTTCCCTTTGTCATCTATAAGGCCATCTTTGTGCAGTTAGTCACTTCTTTATTGATGGTTTTAAGGCACCTCTTTGAGTGAGACCCTCAAACCTCTTGAAGGTATAGTTGATAAATACCCAGTCTTTGTAGCCACCCTCTTCCTCTTCGTTGGTTGGATAGGACGCTGAGAATAGAGAAAATTCACGTGATGGAGTGACATCAACATCATTCTAAATTTGTGAGGATACAGTAAAAAATTAGTATGATAACTCACGAATCTTCAGATCAACATCAGGGAAGTCATCAAAGTTGGAAGTGTCATCAATGGATTTGACTTCCACAGGGATTGCAGCTGGACGTTCACGAATGTGTTCCCAATCAACTCCTTTGCGAAAAAAGGGAATTTTCTTGATCTCCTCCACTCCTCCATGAGCTCCCAGACGCCGTTCAGCCTCACAACAGAACCTGAAAATGCATGTATTTCAAGGTCCCAAACCAGCTCCATGTTGCTGACATGAGCTACTGTATAGACCACCTTACATATAGGAGCCAAGAAATCTTACCAATCAGGAATTAGATCTTACCCTTAGGAAAAACAGCTTTGCAGCAATCTACACTGAATTCAGCTGTTCTCTCCACAGCATACACTTTTTTGGATCATCAATAGCTTTTTCACAGCTGAAATTCTCCTTACTTTCATGGTTTTAATTTCATCTGAACTACACAGGGTGTCCCCCTAAGTCACCATATTATTTCAAACTGCAATATTTTCCAAACTCCAGTATTCCAGTATTGATGGAAATAATGTTCTTTGGAATTTTTTCACAATAATGATTTGGAATCAGATTCAAACAGAAATTTCTCCTAATGCATATTATAAAACTATACTTGTTTAGGGTGATTAAGATACATATTTTTTAATCCCCTTCCATAAAATTGCTAAACTTTGTGCTTTTCTTTCCTTCTAATATCAGATAGACTTGATAATTAGAAAAAAAGTTCATTCAATTTTCTTTCACTGTTATGAGAAATGAATGGCTGTTATGAGAAATGTTATGAGAAATGAACCAACAAAGACCATGGAGCAACAGAGAAAAATTGCCACCTGGATGGAGGTTTTTGGGAGTCCTATCAGAGTTCATGGGAATTTTGACAATTTTTTGGAATGGTATAATGACTTACAGGACACCCTGTACTTCAGCAAATACATGTAATGGGGTAAACACCATACTTTAGAATGCAGTCCTTGGCCTCTTCTGATATGGGCACTTCAGGAGGGAAAACCAACGTATCCTTCCAGTTCATCACTTTCCTATAAGTTTCCTGAGGGTTTTCACTGCAGAATGGAGGATATCCTGAAAATTTGGCAGGAAAATAAGTTTAGGACACAAATAATTCTTTTTTAAATAGCATATTATATTGATCAATCATGCAGCCTACAGATATCTTGAACATACACACCTATGAGCATCTCATACATGATGACTCCTAGGCTCCACCAGTCACAAGCAGAGCTATAGCCTGTTTGAAGGAATACCTCAGGAGCAATGTAATCTGGAGTTCCCACAGTGCTGTATGCAAGAGCTCTTCTGTTCCTTTTCCATGATTCTGCTCTCCTCTTACTATCCATTGGGTTCATAGCTGGAGAAGAATTAAAGGAGTGACATGAACTACACATAACCTGGGCTTCATTTGAAGGCAACCACACATATACACAGCATTGCCAGGCTTACTTATTGATTATTTGTACCAACAGCAAATTCAAATCTTCAAGCTGACATTTGGACAACTGTGTACAACTAAGTCTGATGTAGTAAATTGACAATTCAAGCCAGACTAAGCACAGGGGGAATTGCATTCAATAGTCTGCTACTACCCCTTAGACAATGCATCAACAAAATCACTCCAGAAGGTGAGCAGATTGTTCTACCTTCCATCACACTACATACTACTAAATGTACCTATTTTTGTAGGCAAGGTGCTGCTGGCATGCTCCATCCGGCAGTACTGGACCACATTTAGAGAAGTCCTGTCAACTATACAAATGTCATTGAAAACTTATTGAAATTTGAAAGGACTAGCAGAAATAATATTCCTACAAGGTGTGTGGAAGGCTTTTACAGTATTTTCTATGCAATTTTCTGCATTATATCTGCAATAGGGAGCCAGCAATTGCTCTAAAAACCAAGGATTATGGACTGGAGGCCATCTGACATTGCACTTGAACTTTTTAGTAGACTTTTTTTGGTTGCATTCCCTCACTTCCACTTTCCTCCCCAGTGTCAAATTCTGATTCTGAAATTCCTGAAGCATCATCTGAATCTAATCAAAAGTCTTCATTGCTGCCACTTCCATGGATAACATCTGAAAAAATGCAGCATTTTTTCCAAAATCAGAACTGAATTCATGAAATAAGACACTATGAAATTCTGTCTGCCTAAAAAAATAAGCACACTTCTTACTTTTCATCTGAAATTATATCCTGTCATAAACTGCTGCCATCACATTAAGCAGTAAGGCCTCCAGTTCTCTAATATGTCCATAAATGGAAAGTACTCCTCAGAACAAATGCAACATGCATCTTTCTGCACTGAATTTGGCCTAGTTGGCTGGCTACTAGCAAGCTGGTCACTGAAAGGGTTAATATGCTAACATCTTATGAAGGTCAATTATTCAGTTTCTTTCTTTGGTAGACAAGGGGAAGATGTCTCCATAATGTGATATATTAAGCTTTCCCATAATTACCTGTATGCATTCAAAATTTGATTAAATCTTTACTTTGGGCCACATGAAAATCATGTATCACATACCTGTATTAGTAGTCACCATGTTTGTCAATCACCAACTGCCAGACATCAGGTAGCTTGTTTACTCTGTTGAATGTCCCCTTTCTATTGCTCTCTTGTATAGGCATCTGGATGGGGTTTTTCAACTGGGTCATGCTGTTATAAAGTTTTCCCTTGAGCTGAAGTTTTAAAGGGCCATCCCTTTGCCATCCTTTTGGTCATACTGAAATCAGCTGTTAGTATCTGGTGCACAATGGTCTTAGAATTTGAAAATGTATAGCTGATTCTTGCTCAGACTAGGCCTTACTATTGCACAGCATGTTTTTGACATTTGCTTTGACAACCTTGTCTCATGATGAGACAGGTCGACCAGTCCCAAGTTGGTGTTCGATGCTTGTGCATTCTTCACTAAACTGTTGCATCCAAGCTCTGGACCATACAGGCCCAACAAACACCAACTTGGGACTGGTCGACCTGTCTCATCATGAGACAAGGTTGTCAAAGCAAATGTCAAAAACATGCTGTGCAATAGTAAGGCCTAGTCTGAGCAAGAATCAGCTATACATTTTCAAATTCTGAGACCATTGTGCACCAGATACTAACAGCTGATTTCAGTATGACCAAAAGGATGGCAAAGGGATGGCCCTTTAAAACTTCAGCTCAAGGGAAAACTTTATAACAGCATGACCCAGTTGAAAAACCCCATCCAGATGCCTATACAAGAGAGCAATAGAAAGGGGACATTCAACAGAGTAAACAAGCTACCTGATGTCTGGCAGTTGGTGATTGACAAACATGGTGACTACTAATACAGGTATGTGATACATGATTTTCATGTGGCCCAAAGTAAAGATTTTATAGAAAGGGGACATTCAACAGGGTAAACAAGCTACCTGATGTCTGGCAGTTGGTGATTGACAAACATGGTGACTACTAATACAGGTATGTGATACATGATTTTCATGTGGCCCAAAGTAAAGATTTGATCAAATTTTGAATGCATACAGGTAATTATGGGAAAGCCTAATATATCACATTATGGAGACATCTTCTGCAGCACATTGTTGTGCTGCAAGATATTAGGCTACAACAACACTCTTTACTCTGCACAACTGTGAAGGGATGACATAATACCACTTGTGCTATAGCTTCAGCACACTTTGGCATTGCAATCTAAAGTGAAAGTTGAACATTTCATCTGAGGAAATTTCTGTAAAAAAAATCAGTCCAAGAACTTTTTCATCATGCCACATATAATAGTGAAACATGTTATATGGCATATACTGAGCTTTCAAACTTCCTTTGCTAGATCAAATCCACTTGAGTTCACTAGCTTAATTAAGGAGTTCTCCAGAAAAAGGGCATACGTGCAAAAAATGCTATACAAGATAAACGATAAAAACTTCCCATGGCTAATCTGAAGCTGGTTAAAACCAAATTATTAGTAAAATGGTAACTTAGACCTTTTCCCAGCTGAACTTGGGGTTTTAATGAATTTCTTTATCTCACATTGCTGGGATGCAGGCAGAAAGTGCTTATGTACATACGCCCTTTTTCCATATCCGCACTGCTGAAACTTTTTCCTATGAGTCTTTCACCACTTCTTTCTAGTTAAAAATAATAATTAATCAATAAATGCAACTACAGATTTCAAATAAGCTCTTCCTTGAAAAACAGCAATGAAAATGTGAATAGTCAGGACACGTTTCATTCACAAATTACTCAGCAGTGATCCATTAATGTATTCATCATCTAAATCTTCAACTATTTCATGGATATCTCCAACTTCTCACATCCTTCCAGAGGTTTGAATGACTCCACCTCTTTCTTTCCCTGTCTCCATGTCTGGTTTCTTCCTCGTTCTCACTTTCGGTTTAAAAAGACAAAATAATTCCACCAAAATCGTTCAGCATGCAAGTGATAATGGAATATTCATGGTGGCAGCCATATTGAAATTGCCAAGCAGTTGGCCTGCTATTTAGTGAGAGCATAGGAAAATCTGCTTCTCCTTTGCTGAATGCGCATCTTAACAACGAGCTGACCACCCTATCCTGTGACTAGTCACCTAAAGCAGCACATGGACATGGATAACGGAAAAAGGGTGTATGGGCACATATGCCCCCTTTCCAGAGAACGCCTCAATTAATAATAGGGCTTGAAAGAATTAAAGTGAAACCTTCCCTCATTTTGTTGTCACTTTCAGACAGGCATTATTCCTTTGATGGAATCTCATAACTTCTGTGCATTTAAAGGAATTCCACATCTTTCCCAGGTTTTCTGATGCTGCATATGCAAAGTTACAAATCAGTCCCTACTACTCAGCAACTTATACCTATTTTCATATACTGGATAAAATTAATGCTATCATTCTTGTAACATTGTTTGCTCATCTCAATCTTAACAACTGCTATTGGTGACATACAATTAAAAGATTTTGTAAGAACTAGAGATTGAAATACTGCTCTTTTTTGCCAATTTAAATATCACTTTTAAAGTGGATTTCAGGAAGGCATCTATCATCTATCAGCATTATCTGTCTGAAACACAGGAAGATAGATACATGCTAAATTTGGTGAACTAATCCCATTTTCATTATTTTTGAGGACTTATTCCATCATATATTACATCTTCAAAGTTTTCTCTCACATATGAGAAAAAGAAGGTAATGGCCAACATGCAATCTGAACTCAAATGTCCCAAAAATCACCAAAGAGAAGATATGGTTCAGTAATAATTCCTGCTAGCTATTTTCTCATAATGCTCTACATTTTTTAGTGACTTTCACAAAGTACAAATTTTCAGGATACTTCAACCTTCCACATCAGTAAATACTCTAGTTCATAATCCCTCATTTGATAGTTGGTACCAATCTTGTCACATCAATACCATTTCTCAATCTGCCAGATGTGTGGAACCTTGGAATTGACCCAAACAATACCAGTGGCCCAACTATAATAAAATGACCAGCAGTGAATAAGAAAATCCACATACTGAAATCAGATGGATTTGCTTGTCTCAAATCCCTGTAAAACTCAGTGCGATGGGATTTTTTCAATCCTGTACAGAGTCCAAAGTCTGAAAGCTTGATATGCCCTCTTGCATCAAGGAGCAGGTTGTCAGGCTTGATATCCCTGAAGAAAAAGCAGACCACTTTAAATTCTCAGTGTTATATATATGGATTTCAGGTGTAATGAAGTGAGAATAAAAACAAATGTTTCAAAGGTGAATGGGATCCAGAATAACAGAAGTGACAGGTCTAGAATACAAAGCAGTATACCTATGAATGAATCCCAACTTGTGGATGGAGTCAATAGCCAAGGCAGTCTCTGCTATGTAGAACTCTGTACACTCTTCTGAAAGGGTATCCTTTTTCATCAGTAGTGTCATCATATCACCTGTGATCAGGAAGAATTGTTTTCATGAACAAGAGGGATGATGGACTGATCATGCATTGGTTAAGCTGATGATCTGCTGGTTTTGACTGTCCACATATGATCAATATTCAGATTCCTCATGAATCAATATGGGTCCAACATGAAAAAATCAGGTCCTATAAGCATCTACCCAACATATAATAAGCTCAGGTATCATTCATTGCAAAGTGGACAAATAGTGGTGGTGGCTCAACTAAGATTTGGCCCAAAAAGTTTGTGTTTACCAGATCCTGGGCAATATTTGAGATAATACAGCCCTCCATTTTTAGGTCTTCAATCAGTTACATGTGGATACCTGCTTATTCATAAAAATGTATTTGTGCAGGACAAACAGCATCCAAGAAAAAAAGACTTTCATTATATCACAAGCTGAGAACAATGCAATCAAAACTTGGATACAACTAGTCCCATGATACTATTTCTAAGATATACATACTTTGTGAAACAATATCTTAATCATGACTATGTCAAAATCAAGTTAGCTTATAGATCCTCACACTGCAAGCTTTAAACCTCATGTGAGATTTGAGAACCATCAAAAGGCTCATTTTCAATACTGTACTGTCACACAGACCATCACATACTTACCACCAGGGAGGAATTCCATAATGAGGTAGAGATTCATGGGATCTTGAAAGCTGTAATACATCTTCACCACCCACTGATGATCTGCTTCCACAAGAACATCTCTTTCAGCTCTCACATGAGCCACTTGCTCTTTTTCCAACATGCTTGACTTCCTCAAGATCTTCATGGCATATACATGACCAGTATCTTTCTTTTGCACCAAACGGACCTATTGAGTTCAAGTGAGTGGGACAAAGAGATTGAAGTCCAATTTAGTTTTCCCTTTGAAGGATACTTTACCTATGAATTCATCATATGAATTCATTAACAAAACTTATGTTTTTCTGATGAACAGATATTCCACATTTGAATATTCTGCATATATCAACAACCAAAATTGAAGGAGTAGCTAAAATACTCATTTCAAATATAAATCTGAGACTAAGAATTCAATTTCTCTTGGATGAGAAATCTTTAAAAATCAGACAGAATGGGTCATGGTAAAACTAGAGGTTATTATAATTCTTAGAAGTTTGGTCCATGAACTTGAGAAGGCTATTTCTATACCAAGACTGGAACAGGCTTCTTTTTACTTAGAGGGTACTAATGTGTCACTGCTTTTTATGGGAGATAGGAGCAGAGGAAAGGAGAGAAAAAATAGCAACATTCAACAATAGAATAGTGATTCTTAGTGGGGTTACTTATTAGGATCAATTCAGATTCAATTTCAGATATATAATATAAATTTTTTTTAAGTTCTACCCATATCCTATGCCTACAGGGTGAGCCATAGTATCTCATGCAAATGTCAATACAGGCAAAAAGAGTTCAAGAGCATCCTCAAATTCTGTTATTGGCCTGTTTATTCCAACCAACTTGTATATTTGCATGGACTAAATTGTAATATTGTGCTGCTTTAAATTTTGCATTATGGACACCTTTAAGTTGAAGTGTGCAGCTGTGATCAAGCTATTCCAGAATGGGCAAAGCCCAAAGAGCATCTTTTGGCAACTCAAGTCCAGTGGTTGTTAGTAAGATTTTGTTTATCGTACTCTCAGGCATTACCACGAGACTGGAGAATTCAATTACAGGAAGCACACTAGTCAACCACTTTCTGTTTGCATGCTGAAGCTTGTCAAGAATGTGAAGGCATGGATCAAGCAGAACCCTCAGCATTCAGACTGAAAATTGGTGATTGAGATGGATACCTCATGCTCAACCATAAAGTGAGTGCTGAAAGTGGATCTTGGGTTGAAGCATTTGAAGATGCATAAGAGTCAAATGCTCAACCAACAAACCAAGATTGCCAGAAAGGGAAAATGTCAGGCTCTGCTTCAATGGTTCACACCTGACAAAGTGGATTGCATCCTATTCTCTGATGAAAAGGTGTGTGGAAGCAAAGTATATTGAGTTCAACCCAAAATAACAGGGTATATTGAAAAGATGTCAAGGAATTGCCTGAGGGTGTGAATAAGATGCAGAGGTCACATCATCCAGAGTCAGTGATGATTTGGGCTGAAGTGTCTGCCATAAGCAAGACTTCCCTACGTATTGTGCATCAAGAGGTCAAAATTTGAAAAGAGAACTATGTGGCAGGCATTCTTAAGCCTCATGTGCACCCTGACCCATGATTTGTTCAAAAACGAGGAATGGTGGTTCCAGCAGGATTCAGCACCTGCCCACAAGGCCCACTTGACTCAAAACTGGTGGGACAATTCTGGGCTTCATATCTACTGTTGAATGGCTTGCCACCTCACCCAATCTCAATCTGCTGGACTGCTATTCAGGTTCAAGTTGGAGCAGATGGCCTGCACTAGGAATCATCAAAATGTGGAGTCTCTAAAATGCTCCCTTGTGAAAGCTTGGAGCAATCTCCCAATGGAAGAGGTGTGTACTGCAATCCATAGCCAGTGAGGAACATTGTCAGTCTGTGTGAAGGCCAAAAGGGTTGTTTTGAAGTTTAAAGAATCCTAGATGAAGTTTACATAGTCATAATTTATATTGACAACTCTGTGTCTCAAAAGTGATATTTGCAAATCAAAAGTCTTTGCCAGAAATATTATGGCTCACCTTGTATGTAATTTTATAACATCACTAATCTCATCATTGATTTCAAACTTTGGCTGGTACTCACCTCCCCAAAAGCCCCTCTCCCAATCACTTTTAGGGGCTCAAAATCCTCAACACCAAGTCGGGACCGCTTCAACCTCAAAAACTCTGTTTCTTTCTGTGCATGTTGTAATCTCTTCTCTGCTTTCTGAGCTTCAGACAACCCCTCTGCCTCCATGGTCTCTTCTAACTTGTCATACCTTCAAGAACACCAAGAGTAATCAGAGACAAAGGGCCAAGCCACTGAGTGAAACATGGAATAAATTCTTGCAAGGAAATATATCCTTTTTCACTTTTTACTGGGAAAAGGTATTCCAGGAGATTATCATACATCCAACAAGGTCTGAGATGTGGTTTGATCTATAAAATAAAGCCTCAGGCTGGAAAATACATATCTGAAAATAGCTTCTCTTTTGAAAGAACCTCATCCACATTGATGATGATGATCTCACAACTCTTCCAGGAAGAGTTGAAGTAAAGTACCTGCAAAAACAAGCATGTAGGCCTAAGTCTTTACCAATCAAAATTAACTCACCTCTGTTTCCTCTCCATATGCTGAAGGAGAAGATTACTGTAATAATTTTCCAGAGTTACCTTGGCCTTTGTGGCCTTGTCTAATGTGTGATTACTGAACTGAATCTGATTCTCAGCCATTGTCATCCTGGAAACCTAAAGAATTTAACACCCTCACAAAAATGACTTTCAGATGAATCAAATCACTCCATGAGGGGTTTCTCTATACTCTTGAATGACCCAAGCACAAGCCCAAGTAGTCACCTGAACGAAAAGAACTTATGTTAGACAATGACACATCAATGACACCTATGCCCAGCAATGAACTGATAATGGCACACATATAGGCATAAAGTCTATGGATAGGCTAGGCATTTTGCCACCTCTTTCTACCTCTATTTTGAAATATCACCTCTTCGGTCCCAAAGACTAGGCCTATTCATCCTAAGAATTTCAGTTGAGTTCAACATTTCACTCACCTTGTCACATCAATAATGCTATGGTGGTGTTACTGTCAATCTCTAGTTGTTATATACTTGTGATACATTGTTTGGCAGGCATTAAAGCTTTGAATTGCCATAGTAGCAGTCAATATATTTCAGTAAGAGATAATGTTTCTCAGGTATTGGTTAAAAGTTTTGTGCTTTAGGGGTTGTTCCATAAAACCTGTGGACTCCTTCCTCTGAAAAGATGCAGGAAAAAATAGCTCATGTAGATCCAAATCATCCAAGACATAGAGGAATTTGACATTTTGAATGATATACATTTTATTCTTTCCTCCAGTGATTGCATGCCTTGGAATTACAATCCAATCAATGAGGGAAAGGAACATCAAAAAGTTCTGGGATCTCTCAAATGCAGGTTAGGAAAACCCTTGTGAACCTGCGAATGAGGTTTGCAGGAATGGAGACGAGCAGGCAGGCGGCTTGGTTAGTCTGCTTGCATATTCTTACTGGGAAATTCCAATTTGTCATCTTAGGTACACAGGGAAAAATTGTGTTATTCCTACACTACTCAAATGACTATTGTACCAGAAATGTCACTTTCATGAAACATGAGTTCGAAGCTATGCAACTATAAAATTAGGCTTTCATAAGGAGGGAATATGATCTCTGGTGAGATAGATGGTGCAAAGATCCTTCAAAGTGACTATTCCATTTTGACAATATTGAAGACATGACTTCTACTTAATGCATAACCATGCTTTCAGCATAGTCGCCAAATGAACTGAACTTCCCTTAATCATGTAATAATTTTGAAGTCAAATTTAAACCTATAGAAGTCGGCTGAAACTCTGTCGAACTCAACTGAACTACATTGTAAGCCTATGATAGATCTAAAGTTAGGTTTATGCGCCTGGCGCAGTAAGTTAGTCTACGTTATGGACTTAACGTTGACTAGGAGGTGAAGGTGTGTAAAGACACATAAATTCACTGCAGGAAATTTAACAGTTGAGGGAGCGAGAGGCCGCAAAAATGCGGCGTTAGAGGGACCGGAAGAAGAGCATGTGCCCCGACCAATGAATGGCAAAGAGCTACTAGACGCCGCCATGCTGAAGCTAATTCCTTTTCTTCCCGCAAGAGCACAATTGACGGAACCGGGACTGTATGTCATGTCACATCCTTGTCCTCCGCTTCTGCTGAATTTGGGGCGCCTGACGGATACGGATAACGGGAGATCCTATCCCATTATGCGAAGAGCCAAGTCCTTTATTCTCTCACGAGCAACAAAAAATGCAGGCCGTTACATCAGATACAGCCCTGGCCAATACATTTCATAACAGAAATAAGAGCATCGGATCAAAAGTAACATGCATTTTGTCCACGGGATGAATACCCAGTACCCACTCATAAAAATTGATAATTCTGAGTATTTCTTATAATGAGAAAGGCTACTTGAAATACTTCGCTCGTGTCGTGGCTATTCAACCCATAAAGAAACTGTATCTTGAACTCAATATTTTATGGGGAAAGGCGAGGGAAAACCCTGGAGGAGAGAAGGAGAAGTCTCTTAGTGACCTTCAATTTGTGTTCAAAAGAATACCATTCTATCCCCTTCAATGAAAGGTAAAATGTCAAATACGAGATTTCTGGGATAGTCCAATTTTATATTTGGTTATTAACCCTTATCGGATGGATTTAAACATTCCGCATAAGCGCTGACAGCCAGATATTTTCTACGAAGCTCGTAAACACTCGCTAACTGAGCAATTATTCACTTAATATTAGAGCATTTTCCGGTACAACATTTGTACCTTTCGGCCATGTAAAAATGCATTCTGTGGCACAGCAGTTGTAACATTCGCCCGAAAAAAACTTTTAGCTGCCATTCAGGCAGGCAGGAAGATTCATATCACACAAACACTGTCTACAATATTTAAAGACATTCGGGTAAGTCTCGTGCCAAACTGCATGACTGTCCTCGAGAGCGTTTCCAAGATGCACTCGAAATTTATCAAGAAAATGCAATTCCTGTGTTTCAGCAGAAAACACTCTTCCCTCCTGCACCAGAAGTGGAGTTCGTCAGGGTGTCCGGGCGGTCAGTAAACACCCTATAAATGCATTCGAAATTCATTTTGGACGCGAACAAATTACGGGATTAACATGTTGTTTGTGAATGTAGATTGATAAAAAAAAATAATCTGCAGTATCTTTCTGTGCCTTTTCAATCTTTCTGTGCCTTTTCGAAAAGGCCTTGACGAAAGGTATTCGGTTCCCTTCTTAATCAGCCAAGGAGAGGGCGTCTCTAATGCGCATGCGCTCATGATGCTAAAAAAATGAACCTGGGGAATGGCCCTGACCTGGTCAAGGCCAGTTGAATCTCTTGCCTTCTAAACCTGTTCATGCTTCTGCTCTAATTATCATTCCCCGCTCCCTTCATGGAGGTGGATGATGGCTGTCCCCTATCTTACAGACACTCACGTAAGAAATTACATATGGCTGCGCTCCAAGATTGAAGAAAAGTGACAAACCTACTTCGGACTCCCTGAATCAGCTGATTATTAGCTTCAAAATCCGTTCCATTAAATAGAGATCGTGAAGTTTCCAAAAACGTTATTTTCCATTGAAACCTTGCAAGACTGCAACGTGTCGTCTCCTCCCTCCTCCATCCCGACGAATATATTTAACACCTTTCTGGTTTCTCACGGACCACCACTATCTGCCAGGTACCATAGCAAAATTCCTTGAAATTAATTAAAGGAGAGTCATTAACTTGTTCTTTTCTAATATTGATCGTGTTGTTGTCGGTTGCCTTCGGCCAGGGATCATCCTGTCACATGATATTCTCTGGCATGATTATATTTTTTACGAAACACTTTCAATTACTTTGCTCGAGACAAGAGAGAAAAAGAGGGGGGGGGGGGGGGGGGAGGGCGAGCACCAAGAAAGAGAAAATATTTATTGTATATCGGGTGAGGCAAAAAAAAACGGGTCGCTCCTTTAAAATTTGTGGCGTCTCTGAAACAGCATCTAGCACAACGACGTTTCTTTCGTAAATACGTCTATGCATCCTTTGAGTATCCTAACATTTTTGCCCATTTACCTCTCGTCATTTCACCACACAAGTTGATTTTACAAAGTCAACCATGACTTTATTTCTGTGCTCGTACCTGAACACTGACGGGAGGACCTGCCCTACTGGCTAGGAATTCTTTTCGAGGTTTTTTTTTTTTTCCTCTGCACTTCAGAATCCGTTGAGGGGATCTCTTACTCGTCATTACGTCTGGCAATTTGCAAATGGGAATGGCAATGGCATTCCTGGATTATCATTTTGGAAAATAATGACATTTTCCTCATAAACGCAGTCTTCATTTTCAACGAGTTTGAGTCCCCCTCTTCCTCCCAGATGAACCCGTTTCTCGCAGCTTGTTAATCAGTCTCTTAACGATAGACCTACATTTCTTTCATCTTTTACCAGGCCATTCTTGCAAGCTTCTCTCTCCACCCCATCCTTCCCCAAAAAGCAGCATTTTCATGGGCGGACGTATGAGTTGTGGCCCGAGATTGGTGCGCTCCACGCGTTCCAATCACACTCCCACCGATACGTTCCCCCGCGCTAAAATTCGAGTTGCCTTCGCGTCTCAGCCATCACAGTCATGCGGTGAGACGGCTGGAGAAAAATTATTTTAATTTTATGATGTTGAAAGTATACATAGAGGTTGTTGCAAAAAAAAAACTTTGTCTCGCTATATTTTCAAAGCCTATATTTGTCATCCCGTTTTAATAAATGAGGATCCATTGTTCGAAATAGCTAAAAACGCATGACTAAAACCGATTTCAAGTGTCACGCAAAAATCTCAGCTAAGATTTAAACTCCATTTCGCAGAGAGATCCAATTGAACATGATACAAAAACTCACCAATGAATTTCGCAGTACGCCACTCATAACAGAGTTGGTGACGGGAAATGTCAGACACAATACAAGATTTCTCTTTCCTCCTCAAGATCTGTCTTTCCTCCCGAACCCATAGCAACACCATCAAGAATTCTTCTGAGGTAGAAAATGAGATAAGCTCCCAAGTTGAATGGTGCCGCAGACGTGAGACTCCAAAGAGACCCACCAGAATGGTAACCGTTCACCCTACTGCACGTCTTACATGAGAATTCTTAAAGGCCTTTGAGGCCAGGCCATGGGCCCTGATTCCAGGTCTCCTAAAATATCTGCAAGACGAAATTTCGATCCAGAGGGGTCGATTTCGAGCCTCAAGGATATTCGTCTGCCAAGTGTTAATAAGAATATACCGTGACCTTTGACCTCTTACCTACAATTGATGACCATGTACAATGCATGCTAGTGGTTAGCTTGAAACATCAAATACAAAATGCCGCCTCGCTGTATAAATAAGACACATCGGCCCAAATGCAAGAACCTATCATTTCATAGCTATTACGTGGTAGCTATCATGATAGGTATCAGACGATAGATCTATCATTTGCTGGTTCCGTATGCAAAAACAATCAATAGGTACCCATCATTAGACCTATTTTGATGGGTATCTTCTTACCTATTGCGATATCATGATATGTGTTCGTGAATCTTCCAGATGACAACCTTCTATCCATCAGCTTTCGCGTCCAGCAACAATGCAATTGCTATGTGCTCGCATTATGACCGACCAGAGTGTTGTGTGATGATTTAATGGTTTTACTCTAATTCCGTTTACCATACTAGTGCTTGTATTCCGATTGTCGGGGCTTCATAAGTAGAACTCTAAGGGATTTAATCTGTCCCAGAATATCTGCTCTCGATGCAAGTTGCGACGGTTCACATAATTCATCGAGTTAACAGAATGCACTGCATCAATCCCGGTAGCTTGTTATTCAATATAAGCAGAATAAACAAGCTATGAATCATAATAGATTGAAGATATTTTTATATCTATCATGGTAGATGTAAAAAGTTTCCGTACATGACCAACTTATTAAACTTATCAAACCCATCATATGATACGCCTCAAAATAGTTATTTTATCAGCTTTATACGTTCTTGCATGTCAGCCATTGCCACTCACATAACAGAATGATCACCAAAAAGTTCTCAGGGCCTTAACGCTGCAGTATACCTCACCTGCGATGAGCTTGTATTATCGTTCAGAAAGCTGTTTACCTGCAACGTGCACTATGTGACAACAGTCTATGGTGCACGATATGGATGGATTCTTACAGTCGTCATCTAAGTCAATGTAGCAGACGTTCACGGCGACGCCATACTGAGCGATAATTATGCTTCGAAAAAATTTCTTGGCCGCTTCCGAACCCACCATCATTATTCCAAGAATCTTCGACTTTGTAAAGAAAGTACACATTTTATCATGCTGAAACTTCAGGCCAGGGTGCATATCTACATAATAATAGCCGAGGTTTGTCCTCCGGTCTGTCCGCCGGAGACCTGCCCGGATGGTTTTTTCTTCACCCAACCCGAAATTCGATCACCGAACTGAGTTTTACGGACCCTACCCGCGGGTCGTGTCTGGCCGAACGGGCCGGTCCCGCAGCCCGTCTAGGCCTCTAAGCTTCATAACTCGAGGTCTCTGCGTGTTCGTCCGCATCCGACCAGAAACTTGACTTTCGATGGAGCTGCAAGCCCGATCCGCGGGTCGGGTCGGTTCCATCGCGTCGATCCGCATACCGCCCAGTATCGTTCCCTATTCTTCATCCAATAGCCGGACGTTCGAGATTCGAACTACGCGTCTCACTTGAATTCTGCGGGGCAGAACTCGCTGAAAAGTTGCATACATGCAATTGGGGGTTCCCTATTGACGGAACGCATCCTCTGTTATTGATCCAAAGCGTGACTTTATGAAATTCAAACGTCATTTTTTAGAATTTCATGAGACAGAACTCGATGAAAATTGTTATAAAGAGAAATTTGGGATGGGGGGGGGATACCGGGACGCACCCAATGTTATTGATCCGAAATGTGGCTGTTCAAAATTCCAACGGTGTGTCTTATTGGAATCCTATAGGACTTAAGTCGATTAACCTCGTTTAAGAAGGCGTGAAAGTTTCACGGGTAACATCTTGTAAGTCATAACTCCATATGACTTCTGCAGTCCACCGATTCGATTCGATATTCCCACATTATTAAAATCTATCACGAATTGAGTCATTCTCTCCACATGATGAAGACCAAAGACTTAAGTAACGCAGATAGCGTGCGTCTCAGTAACTGCCGGTTTAGAGAAGCATCTGTATATTAGTCTATGTCACCTGGAGTTTCCTTCTGGTGTTTCTATGCCAAAGTAGCAGTAACTTCGCATCGATCATCAAATCGATGCAAATTCAGATCACAACGGATATTCTCGTGCTATAGCAA